GTGACGAATGTGTCAGTGTAGTACCTGCTGTTACGCGACGCCTCAAACAACGGACTCTGACCGATGTAAAAGTGAAATCTCCGTTGACATTAACAGGGGGAGTAGTACCACCTGGTACTGACATTGTTAATAATGCACTTTTAGTGGGAACCGAAGATCTGGATAAAACAGTCACCGTCCCAAATAGTCCCAGTGTTATGAGGGATGAAAAGTGGACTACGGTACGTAGGAAACGAAACGACAAGAAAAAAGCTGTAAACAGTACACAGGTAGTTAATTACTCACTGGTGGACTCAAATTGTGAACCAAAAATTGCACTACCATGATCTGATGGTAAGAGTGAAACCTGTCCTGGCGTGACTGAGAAGAAAAATCTAATAACATCGAATATTATTGTGAGCGAATTGCTGGAGTCAAACGACCCTGATCCGAAAATCAGACACGCGCATGACTGAGAAAAGCTAGGAGAATACATTCGTAGCATTTTACCAGATAACTCCAAAGGAGTCCAGGTCAAAAATTGGTAAGAATAGGCAAGAGGACCGACGACAATGTTGAACCCCGTCCATGTAGACTCCTTAAGGTAATCCTGGGATCAGAGAAGCAACGAGATCTCTTGTTAAGTAGTGCTCGTTGTCACGACAATTTCGATATGCGGGTTAGACCTGATATGTTTCTCGAAAATAGAATAAAAAGGAAGAAAGCACTAGCTGAACTTGAAATCCGTCGGCAAAACGGCGAAGAAAGTCTCCGGCTAGTGGGTTTTCGGATAATCAAGTCTTGGAAATGAATGCTACCAAGGCCTGTGTGGATAGGCCGTTCTACTTAGGAGTTTTATATGCCAATGCTCGTAGTCTAAGAAATAAGTTCTATGAATTAGAAGCATTGGTGGACAGATTAAAGCCACTCATCGTAGCAGTGACAGAAACTTGGTTAGCCCATGGCTTAGACATTACACCAGAATTATTCAGATACCATTATCTCAGGAGTGATAGACATAGATGTAGAAAAGGAGGTGGCGTCCTGTTATATATAGCCAATAGCATAAATATCCGCTCCTCTACTAGCAAATCCCATGATAGCGGTACTTGTGAAATCATTAGCTGTAAGTTGGCCATAGGATGTAGTACGTTTATGCCAGGTGTCATCTATCGCAGCCCAATCTATTTAGTTGATGACTTTATTCTAGAGCACATTCATCTTTGGAGTGAAAATACCAGATGCTTGATAATAGTATACTTTAATGCACCTGATATTAGTTAGACTGAGATGACCACAGAAGGATCTATAAACTCCTTTGATAGTAGGTTCCTGATAACAATAATGGAGCATGCACTAGTGCAGCATGTATGCCAACCCACACATTTTAGTGCTAATCAGGGTTCTTCTCTGCTGGACTTGGTAATCACTCATGAGACTGAGGATATTGTCGACCTAAATATTCTTCCACCGTTAGTGAACAGCGATCACGCTGTTTTGTCATTCACGTTTAGAACTAAGGACATGTTATACGAGCAGGTTACACCCCGCCCAAATGTATGGAAAGCTAACATATCAGCCATTCAGGAATGCGCTGCTAAGACAGATTGGTTTGTAGATACTAGCTTATCAGTTGAAGAAGCGTGGTTTGTATTTAAAGGTAAGTTTAGTTTAGTTACATCCTCGTTCATACTATACCTGGTACCGCGAAGACGGAATAACAGTCCACCATGGATAACTAAATCAGTCAGGAAACTTCTTAGGAAAAGGAAGAAGCACTGGAGTATGTTCATCTCTACTGGCTTAGAACAATACAGATCCAGTTATTGTAAGATTAGGAATGCCTGTAAAGAGTTATTAAGTAAGACTAGACAACCATATGAAAAACAATTGGTTAGGGATTCTAGATATAGTCCGAAACGCTTATTATCGTATTTAAAAAGGCAAACTCAGAGAAGCGATGGAATTCCATCACTTTTGATACGAGAAAATCCGTTAATCCTGGCATAAAATGATACCGAAAAAGCTGAAGCTTTATCGAAATATTTCATTAGTGTTTTCTATTGGTAATGAGGAACGACCAGCGGCTCGTTGGTGGACCCTGTAGTCATTGAGAAAGGTACTGTTTTAAGGCTACTTCAGCACCTCAAACCAGATAAGTCCAGTGGTCCTGATGATATTCATCCTAGGATTATAAAAGCCATATCAGATTTAATTGCTGAACCATTAGCGATACTATTCGACATATCTCTGAGACAGTCCAGACTGCCCAGAGACTAGAAAGACGCTATAATAAGTCCGGTGTATAAGGCTGGGAGTAGGTATTTAGTTAGTAACTAAAGGCCCGTTTGCTTAACTTGTGCAGTTGTAAAACTGATGGAAAAAATCATCCGGATATCTGTTATAAACTATGTTGAAGGGCAAAATCTTTTCTCCAGGGCACAACATGGTCTTCGAAAATGCCTATCTTGCTTGACAAATCTTCTCATTGCACGAGAAGATTGAGCTGCGGAAAAGGATGAGAATAGTCCTGTGAATGTGATTTTCATAGATCTAAGTAAAGCCTTTGATAAGATTTCCCACTCTGGTCTTAAATTCAAACTGGAACGTTTTGGAATCCATTATACAGTCGTAGTTTCGATAAGTAACTTTCTCCATGACAGGAGACAATGGGCAAGGGTTAATGGGGCTCTCTCTTCGTGGGTACCTGTAAAAAGTGGCCTATCGTATACTGAACGATGATCTTGGTACTAACATGTCTTATCTTTTGCTCCCGTCTAGAACCGATCATTTGAGAGGACATTCGAAGAAAGTTCGAAAACCGAAATCAAACCGTTTACGTCTGGAGTTCCGTTTCTCGCACCGAGTAGTGAATTACTAGAATTCTCTACTGGAACACGTTATATCAGCACCGTCTGTTAATATATTCAAAACGAGGTTGGGCCTCCACTGTATTAAAAACTGCAAGGATTAATATAGGTCGATAGACCTTCTATCCTTATTACTGAAGACTGAAGACTGAAGACTTTGTAGCCGCGTCAAGCAATAGTAACGCTACGTCACGTTTTCGTTGATGATTTTTGACGAGCGATTCTCCGGAGATCGGTGGTAATTTCACGTACTGTTATTATCGTGGAACAGTAACGTGACCTTTTATACAATAGTGGTCGATGTTCCTTGGCACCTTACGGTTAACGATTATCGGGCACGTAAAGTTACAGTCCAACATTTTTTCTAGTTGGTTTGGGAGATTCCCCTTTGTCAAAGCCTTTTATCATGGGAGTGATTTGAGCGGTTTTCTATCAGCGTATGGAGTTTTCGACCTGTCGTCACGGTCGAAATAAGATTATAATCTTATAAGGATGAGAATAAAGAGGAAAATGCGTTGGTAAAAAATGCGCCAAATCGTCTACTTTTTCGAGTGTCAGGGGAAAATAATATAGATTTTCCCCTATTTTTCGCTCTGTACTTCACGTGTCAATAAACCACTCACTCAATAAAGGGGAAGTAAATGGGAACAGAGGAAAATAACGGAGAAACGCTCCAAAATGTCTGCTTTTTCTGCTGTCCGGGGAAATAATGCTGATTTTCCCTCTTATGTCGCTCTGTCTTTAAATGTCGCTGAATTGTCTACTTTTCACCTAAACTCACGACGGATCGTCTGCTTTTCGCCTAAATACTCACCGAGTTAATTACTTTTTGCCCAGATCTACGCCGAATTGTCTACTTCACTTAAATACTCACCGAACTGTCTACTTTTCACATGAATACGTGCCAAGTTGTCTGATTTTCGCCCGAATTATCTACTGTCGCTTCGGCGTTTGGCACACCTTCGCCTAACCCTAGATGTTTCCTATATTTATCTGTATTTCCATAGCAAGCCCCACGACAAATGTAATCAACGTTAAAATGGTACATGTTTAGGGAAATTTATTGAAGAAAACATCATATTGCACAAGATTGTGAATAGTTGACATGCTAGATCATCGATCGTTATGTAAGTGCCAAGTCGACATTTACCCTAAGTAACCGACATCAAGGAGGAAAAATAGACCTTTCCCCTTTATTTACGCTTTTGTCGGCTTCATTACGCCTTTATTTTCCTTTTTATATTCTTTTTTTAATAATGTGATAGAACTTGGTTCTGCGTATAGAAGCTAAATTTGTGTCACTTGTTTTAAGAATGAGATGGAGTTTGAGTTATTTTCACATTCCTTAAGAAAGACAGTTTGATGGACTATGATCTATATTTTTGACAATCACGTTAACCGTCCACCTAGATTATAATAAAGTCTTAATACTGTTGGAAGACATCTAAATGTATTCACTTGTCGAAATATGGTCTCTGGAGTACTGTAACTTTCAAGGATATTTACTTTATCGTCCTATAAGACTTATATTTGGCTGCGACACAGAAGTTTTATTAATTGGTCATGGGACTTCACATTTCAGATGTGTTTTTATGGCCGTTCAGGTAATTTCGGATCTAGAAATTAGTGCCAGAAAAATCAATATTTGATATCTGAACATTCTCAGTCCTGCGTAGATGTTCAAATAAGCCATAGTTATTCGGGAAAAATTAGTTATATTAATAAAATAGAAATGATCTTCGATTTATGCTCAATATTGAAGAAGACACGTTGGTATTAGCGTCACTTGAACTGGTCTACTAGGGAAATAGGCATTCACTTATTGTGAACTATTCACGTGTAACGCTTAGATTTGATCCATATTGCCTATCCAATTTCTGTAAAAGCGCAATGCTAAAACTATATAGCTCCATCCTTATGCCTTAGTTATTTGAAAACAGTCTACTCTGAACTAAACCAAACCCTTTAGAACAACACTAGAATTTCATGTTTAAGAAAGTCAGTATAAGGTTTAGTTAGTAGATATTTGTGCTGTTCACGATTTTTATTGAATAAGTTATTTCTTTAATCAAAACTGTTGAAAGTATTATTCATGCACATGTTCGAGGAGACAGTTTTGGGTCATACCATGGGTCAATAATACTAAGCGGCTTGTCGAACCGAAGTATAAAGAACGGAGTTCCAATTTGCCACTATGATTTGAAGTCACGCCTTTCAGCTACTGTCTGTATTTGGTACAAACATCTGACGTGATGTTCAAAATGCCAAATTGGCATACACTAATATGGTCGATATCAATGAAGAAAGTCTTTTTTCCTAAAGGAAATAGCGAAGGTAAAACGCAATTCACGAATAACCATCTTTGCTGGTTGTTACTGGCATATGTGTATCAGAAATTTGTAACTCATTTTCTTACTAATAAACGTACCTCTGTTTTAGGAGTATTTGGTTTATTTATTCCTGGTTGCTTGAATAAGTAACAGTCGATGGTTTACCGTCCTCTGTAGTTTTATATGTACGTTTAAGTAGTACGTCTCCTCGAAAAAGCTTAAAACTCTGATTTCGTTTACTTCTAGTGATTTGATTGATAACTGTCCACAGGAATTATGAACTCATTAGGTCTACAGACATATGTGGAATTGTTCCATTTTCCATCATTGGCTCAGTCGAATGTTTTCAACCTAACTTTTCTGAAGTCTGATGCTGCAAAACGATCAAAAACTAGTCGAAAAACGTACGACATACTGGTCGCATTTTTCCGTCCAGGTGAGTATTCGCATCCTGATTTCTTTATTTTAGTCTAGTAAGCGATCCACTAGCCAGCAAATATTCCTTTAGTATACACCATTTCGATGTAGAAGACAAAATTATTCAGCCACTAACTAAAACCATTGATTTTGCCTATTTACCAGGTTTCGTAGAAATTGTAGTGATTATTTGTATGTAAATTCTCAGGTGCCTCAGACATAGTTTGCATTAATGCATTACATGACGAAATAACTGACGAATACTTCGTTGCTATTGGCTTTGTAAAGGTAACATTTAGTTTGATCTAATGTTTATTGTATTTAAGGAAGGCGAAAAAGGATACCTTAATATATACAGATCTAAATCAGAAGAAAAGCTATCGGGTATGTTTTACACAGAAATCAGTCAATAAGTATTCTGTTCAGAAAATTGCTTGAGTTATTCCAAGTTACCTTGTGTTCCTCTTCATTTGACTCATGCACAGTAAGTTACACTTAGATTTCAATTAGACTTATATTTATGCTAGCTTCTGTATTCAATAATGATATATTTTCAAATGAGATGAAAAATTTGCACGTTTAAAAGAATTACTAGTGTTTCTGCCTATTACTTACTATCATAACTATGATGTTATCATTGTTATTGACATGACAAACTAAGTAAAAGTAGCCAAATGAGTAGATCAGTCGATGTTAACCAGAATTGACCTGAAGGACGTCTTATATCAGTACCACATTTCGGACACCGCCTATCACAACAGTTATCATTAGTTCCATGAATACTCATACTAAGAAATATTAAAGTCTATTGAGATTACAATCATATAAAACATGACGTGTGATCTTAATTATTACCAGACCGTGTTTTTTCAGTAATCAGTATACGAGTAACTATCATCTTTTATTTAAATATATTCATCTAGGATATCCCGATACAGATAAACCCTAGTTAAAATCGTGCGTTTTTCAATTCATTTAGCTACTACCTTATGTCAAGGAAATGTAAGACCAATTTCTCAGGTACTCAGTTCCTGGTGCTCAAATATCACGCAATTAAAGTGATACACATAGTTCTGACTCTAACAGTTGTCTCCGTTAATCTAATCAATTTCCATTAGACTAAGCGTTTATTTTATAAAGTTTTTGCTTTGTGGACTAATGAGAGTTTGTCTGTGCTTTTTTAGCTGTCTCATCAAAGATGAACATCAGTGGGCATTCTTTTTGTCTTATGGTGAACCTTTTAGCGAAACTTCCAGTCAACGTAAGTTTTGTAAATGCTGTTTATGGAATTTTTCTGTATCCAGTATTCCTAAAACCCAACTAGTTATACTACGTTGTTCAGGATTAGATGATTTCTTAATTTGTCACTAGTAATTTATTTTAAATTTATAATTTTGTTGCTCATATATTCTTCATAATAAAGATCATAAACTCGTGGTTACAAATACTTTTGTAGATGACCCACATTTCGTTCACAGTGTAACCAATTAGTCAGTCAGTCAGTCAGCTACAACGTAGGACTAAGCACATATGTGCATCGATCGAAGTTCCCATACCTCATTAGCACAACAAGATGAACACCGGATTCGTAGACGTGATTAATTCAGTGGTGGTAATATATAAAAGAAAGATTTCATATAAGGACATAGTACAGGAAGAAAGAATTAGTTGGTAGAAAGAAAGATATGAAGCGATTTTAATCTCATAGTTTAAGGGAAGACAGAGTGTATACACCGACGCCATTGTGATCGATTCTGATCCATGTCACACAGAGTCTACAACCATTGGTTGCCATAGTCACACGGAATCCAACCGAGTAGTCTGCATCTACCAACATTGACTCAGACAGAAGTTAGGGAATTCAAGCACTGATTAACCACATTGAAGTTAGTGATTGCAGATATGAAGCAGTTTTCACTATGAACTGAAATCAGTTCGAGAACTGTTGACAGCTAAGAAGTATGAAACATCTGGTTTATACTATTATTGTGCTATCGTGTATCCATTATCGGATCGAATCTAAAACCTTCGATTACCGTGCTGAAAGCGATCCATTGTTACAGTTTCTATCATGAATCGGTTCTTTTGTTCTCCTTCCTTTCATGCACATTTCAACAAATCTTTCGTCAACTATTGTATTGCTGCACTAAGATTGAAAGTGCTATACTTATAATATGAGATTATATACACGTTGAAGTTGGACTTTGGAGATCTATTATTCATCAGCCTTCTTTTTAACATAAGAAAACTGTTCATTTTTGTGCTTGCAACATCATATATCTGTCCGATAGTCATCGTTGTTATTATCCTATTAGAAAATTCAATTACAACATTAGTGGTAAATGCTGTCTATTATTTCTAACTGTAAGTCATCGATTTAATTTCTAGATCATGAGTCCTAACCTCGCTCCATTTGTCCCAGCAATAGTAACTTAGTTCCTGTCGTATAATACACTTAACTCGATCCTCAAGATAAAATCATTCACTTAATCACTGCTAATTAAACCAAAATGACCTATAAAAACATTCTTTTGTTAATTTTGATCTAGACAAGCCTTCCAATCAACCACAAGTCAAAATATTTTCCAAACTTGTTGATACTGTAAGTAATATTTTAAATTTGACTTATAAAATACATTCAGAATAGTATTATATTATTCTCATATTTTAGCAAAGTAAAATCAGTTTCTAGATTATCAAGGATTATTTTATGATTACAACGGTCTTATTGATTTTCAAAGAGATACAGTACATTATATGTGTTCTTGTGCGTAGTATATACTACCTATGCCTGTTGTTTTGCCTTCAGTTTTACCGCTTCGTCTGCATCTCCTTTAATCGTGATTTGAGCGAAGAAATTTCTTTTCAATTAGTTTTTCATCATCGCTCTACACTAATATATATGATTTACAATAATGATATGATACTCATCGAGTGGGTACGTTAAGTAACAATTACATAATGACATTTAAATTAACATTGAGTAATTGGAAGAAAGAGGATTATTATGATTCAAAGTAATTATTAAATCAAAAAGTTGCTGCGTTGCGCAATATATGAAAAAGAGAGAAGGCACAGAATTTTTTAATGGATGGTCAATAGAATAGTAGTTACGTAAGAATCAAGAGATGAATGTTGAGAATTTATAAAGTTCAAAAACAACAAAAACAAAACTAAAAAAATTTAAAAAAAACGAATGGAAGAAGTATGAAAAATACTTCTGTTGAGGTAAATCTTATGCCGATGGCCAAGGCAGCGAAAGTGGTTGTACAAATCTCTTGAATGCAAAGGTTAGGTTTGTGAACATGGATCGCGATGGCTTCCGCGATGTGCAAAAGGCGCACTTGTAAACCATATGGCAAATTTGATGGGATATGGTAGATAACCTTAAAAGCTTTATTCAATTCAAGTTGATGATCTGTGTCAACCAAATGAGAGAGAATAGAACTTTTAATCACTTTTACCTGTCCTTTGCTTAACCACGATGGATGATGCTCTATAATACGAGGACGAACTTGCCGAATTGTACGCCCTATATAACTGGCTCCACAGGAGCAGTTGAACCGATAGATACACATGGATTTGGCGAATTCAGGCAGTCTGTCTTTATTGGCAATTCTTATTTTGGGGTGGTTGTAGAAGATAGCATTTAATCTGGCTACATTAAATGTTTTTTGTTTAGGAATTCTGTCATCTTTTTGATAGTTTCTTCCAAACAGTAAATACCCTTAACCCCTTCTGTGTTTAGTACTCAATAATTTCTAGCTTTCTTTGCTTATATGTTAGCTTTCAAATAAATACAATTAGCTGTGTGTCTACAGTCTCAAGTCAATTATGCCGAGAAATTAACCGCTACTATAAGCATTGTGTAGTTGTCTCTGCATGTTGAAAATAGATTAAATTTGGAAAATTGAACTATCATGCTCCATCCAAGTACCCTAAAGTTTACACCAGCGCGAGACTCAAAGTTCATAGGCCCGATTGTTTATTGTAAGTTAGATCATCCGAATGATCATCTGTAGAAGCTAGTATCCTCTATATCTGACTCCAATAGATAGTATCCTGTTAACTGAGTATTTAATGCAGGCTAAATCTCCTAGTAGAATCATGGATTTACTCGAGATTATTCAAAATCCTGAACACCAGTTATAGAGATGGTTTATTGTTAAAGATTGGTAAAATCCGAAAGCGTACAGGAAGCAAACACACAGGGTAAACAAGTGTGTGTGTGTGTTAAAAATCCATATATATTTATGAGTGTTAATCAAGTATGGATAAATTATTGGTTGTCTGTGTATTACAACCAATGGGGGAATAGATTAAAAATTGACATGTGCTCAATCAGACTCATACGGAAAATTACATGGTGGATCAAGTGTATAAATTACAGTGAGCAGATAAATAATACAGTAGTTGAGTGAGCTTACTACACATCTCATCAGGACATAGTCTTTGATAATAACCCAGTATAATGTAACAGCCAATTACCATTGATTTTACAGTCGTATGATTGGTATATACTTGTAGTTAAAATGTTTATTTTAATAAATGTATCAGACATTATCTAGCTACACTGAGGTACTGTTGTTTGAATAGTTCAGACATAACATCACGATAAGCATAGTGCACATATCTGTGTTCTGTATTTAACAATGATTCGGTGCTTATGAAAATATGTGGTAGTTGAGCAGAATATTGAATCAATCAGTTTTTTTCTTTCTCTCACACAAAGTCTGAGCTTTCATGTCGTCATGTACGCTTCAGTAGTGATCCTTTGATTTTTACTGATTTTAATGGATTAACAATCAGTTGTGTCACGTATGGATCATTGTTTCATATTTATTGGCAACTACTAAGTTTATCTAACTCCGCCTGTAGTTGTTCTAGAGTTTATGCCGGTCCCAAGCTCGGGTAAATGATGAGGGTTGGGCATGGGGTCGGCAACTCTATTTCGTACAAAAAAATCTTACTAAGAAAACGCCATCCAGTAACTAAGTTTATCTAAGAATACATACAAATTGAGGTATACGTATTGGAGAGGCCAGGCAAATCATAATTAACTAATTTATGCAACTCAGTGTTTATATGCACTTTTTGAAATTTCAATATCGGTTTAGTTATTCTCATTAGGTATATCAACCATAGAAAGCGTTGTCTATTCTTACATAATAAACTTACAGATTCATTATTCGAACACAATAAAATATCAACAAGCATGTGGTTGGTAGAATTACTGTAGAAAAAGTTCACACACTTCCCTATAATGGCAACACATAGAAAATCTTAATTGAAAAATCATTCAATAATTTTTCAGTTGGTATTATGTTTGGAACGGTGGTGGTGTTTCTTGGCTAGTAATCTTGTATCTTTCAATCAGCGTTAGTTTCATTCATCATTTTAAAGGTTATCATTGAAAAGTTTTAAGTTGAATTCCTTATTTCCTCTTACTTCTAGAATGTTTTTGAACAAGTTGAAATTGATCAAGATACAAAAAACTCTGAATTAAATCAGTCTCAAACCTGTCATTCTAGTGCAGCTTATGGTGAACTATCATTTAATATTGCTGTAGTACTTTTCCCAGAGCTAACAAAATTGCCAACAACATTAATGTAAGTTTTATTCAGTAAGATATCTTTCAAGTAAATAGAAACTTAATTTATGTTTTTGTGTAAATAGATGTATGAACTGAACGTAGGATATTCTTTCCTAATAAATTTTCATCAGGCTCCTTAATTAAAAATTCGAATTGATGCTCGAAAGGGATGATCAACTTGATTGGATGAACTGCTTTTAAAAGTTACGGCCTATAAATTTAGGATCACTAGTGGAGTGAAATAGAATTGGTAATCTTCAGATATTTAGTGTGTATTGTTAGAATCACTAAGTTTATATATCAATGAAATCATAAGATTGATAATCTGAATAGATATAGATAACAGGAGATGAAATAATAATGTGATTTTATTGTATAGATGGAATTCGACTGGCAGTTAAGTCCAGGACGCTCGTTTCATTATATTTAAGATACGTCAAATGGATGTATTTGCATCCCAGTGTCTATGACCGCACTGGAATTCAAACCCCAAACTCTGCACATCAAACGTTCAATGCATTATCCATCTAGCTACTAAGTCTAGATAATCACTCGTTCAACGGATATGAGTTTTAATTTAATCTGTAAATGTTTTCGAATTATTTGGTTACTGGGACTTTCGACCCAATTACGTTGCTTGTGATTTGATATGAATTAGGTATCAGTATTTATATCGGGTTTGTGGTAGTTGAATTTTTTACTGGTTGAAAAGAACAGTAATAATGCTGATAATATTTGAGCAAGGTAAATTTAAGATAAGTAGACACAAAGGAGGTCGGTCGTACATATTTAAATTAGGTCATCTTATGATTAGGATAACTATTGATTTACTAGATCTTGAGTTAACTGAAATGATAAAAGGGTCTGAATTCATTTTTCTTTTACATACAAATCTCCGACTTTCAAATTCAAATAGTTATTAGTTTCGTTGTCTGGAAGGCTGTAAGTCAAACAGATTTTGGCAAACAATTACCAATGCGATATAATACTGTAAACGATTGACACATTTGAATTGTATAAGAAGAAGTAGAACTATTGATCGTTTTCGTTGCACCTTTGCTTAGTCACTCTGAAGGTGTTTGTAAGTATGAAGAACCAAGTTCTTAGAATATTAAGCGACATAAATGGTTTCAAATTAGCCGTTAAATTAATAAATACAAGATAGGTGACTAGTTTAGTGAATTTATCTCTCAATCTCGGTATCACAATCAGATGTATAGAAAACAGTAGTTGTAATTTTCACACGTTAAACGTTCTTTAAATTATTTTACATAGTTTCAGCACAAATATTTCTACATGTACATCACTTCTAAATAAGTAGGTGCATTAAATAGTAATTTTTCGTTAATCATTTGAACTTCCTTGTTCTATTTCCTTTGATCCAAGTGTTTGTTTATACTATGATCTAATTTACATTTAATTCCTGTTTCATTTATTCTTAATCATAAATAAATTCTTATTTTTAATTGAGATTTTCACATTCCTTGTTTAATTTTTCACCACAGTTTCTTACATATGGATTTTAAAATTATAAATAATATACGGTTTTCAGCATTCGGCTCACAAGATGGGTGGTTTGGTTTATTCGCTGTGGACATGAAATCTCGTAGTATGCTCCTTTTTATGTTTGCCTAAAATGTTTAATTACATGTTTGTATACAATATTTGTAAATTTTTATCATATAATTAATACCTTTTTCCCGTCATTAAAGTTTTGTCTATTCCCTATGAAATTACTATAACTGAACAGTGTATCCTACATATCCAATTGGCTACATATTATCTGATGAAAAGTTTCCTTTTATATGAAATGTATTTGAATATCCAGTATATTAAGTGTTGTCAAATAGTTTATATCAATCATAACTAATTTAATAAGTTCATTACACTGTAGCACTATACACTTCAATTTATTTGTTACTGGGCTTTGATCTGACTGAATAGAAATGTATGAAAATGTTTGAATGAACTTCTTTGAAAGTCGACCGAATAAAACTTTTAAGGTCCAATTTACCCTTAATTGTTTGTATGAATCCAATGTTTTCATTCTAAATATACTGTTTATCGCGTATATTTGTATGGTGTTTTTTGTTATCCAATCAGGAACTATACGACATTTCTATTTATCTCATGAATCACCAATCACATCCATTAAAATATTTCAACAGTTTAATGGGTTTGATTCGGCTTCAGAAGAAGTGATCAAAGATAATGAAAGTAATTTATTTATTCTTTAAAATTTGACTGGTTATATTGTCATATAATAATGATTATCTTATCTAGTGTTATATTTTTAGTACAATATGAAATTCCCAGCATAAAATATTCCAACAAACTATTGATTCTGTACTTACATTGAAGACATACAGCAGGACCGCCACTGGCTTCTATTTTGAGCCAAGTCTGATAACATCTTAAGCCATTGTGTTGTACTCCAACCAGGGAGTTGTGTGAAGGACCATCAGATGCTAGTCCTGTACAGCATTCTTTCATGCCATCACACCATGTCATACACTAATCCGGCAAATAATGCACGGTGTGGAATTCGTTGTGAAGACCTTCGTAAGACATCCAAGCTGCCGAAGTCGGTGTTTCAAGATTGAATCGAATTATCGTCACTGTGCCTGAACACACAATATCGAACCTCTGCATTACTAACATGGTGTTACCAGTGTATGTTAGCAATCCTTCGGAGACAACAAGGATCAGACACAGAGGGTCGTCTAACGTCCTCAACTCGGAGAAATCAGGTTTCATAAGCATAGAGCAAGACTGCTCCTATCGACGCGTTGGAGGTCCGACCTTTCACACCCAGAACACCACGAAAGAGCTAGAGATGGCCCAGATTGGCATAAGCCGCTCTGGCTTTCACTATATGTGAATTGATCTCACCACTCAAACCATCAGCAGCACTTATGCAGCTATCCTGATACATGAATTTCTCGATTACTTTTATTTGCTCACTACTCAAGGTGAGTGCAGGATCAGGGTCCTACAAGTCGTGTAAAAGTACTTTGGACTTAGAAGGTGCAGAGCATACTCAACTTATATAATTTCTCAAGTTTATCGTTCCGGGTTATAAAATTAATTGTCACAAACCTTAGATGATATTTTAAGCTAAATGGGTAGGTGATTTATTGTTTAAGAGGTTGAAATTTCAGTCATAAATTGCGAGTTCGAACCCCCCTCACAACTGGGTAGTATTACTAGTGCTTACCGACTGTGCCTCAAAGCCATGTGTACAATTCTGTAACTGATAATGATTTACTAATAAATTATAACAATACATTAGCAAAATGATATCGATAACCGCTTAACCGGAAACCACAAACTGCTTGAGAATCCATTCGTCAATAAAAATATGGTAATTTTAGTCTCATTTTTATATTCATTTTACACTGATGTTATCATCTATTAATTTCTTAAATTTCCTACATCTGTAACTTATTTATGTCAGTCTCTTTCTCCCTTCATTGATTTCATATCAGATGTGTCTATTCTCAAGAAAGATGTTAACTGTTTAGTGTGTTCAGCTTTTGAACCAACTGTTGTTTATTGGTAAGCATGCAAATTTCCAACATCGTATTTACATATAAGTTATCAGATATGTCTTTAAGTTAATAGTGTGTATATTCTTCGACTTTTACTCAGATTAATTTCTTAAAAGAAAGTGTTAACTTCACATTCTATGTAATGTACAGATTTATCAGAACCATCGGAATGAAGCATCTAAGGTAAAGTATCTTGACTTCTTGAAATATTTATGTACGAATATATACAAATAAATAATGTCTCTACATTAAACGATAATTGGCGCAAGGTAAAGCTCACATTAATAATGATAAACTCGACAATAACAGTGAACTTTCAGTACAGACAAGTGTAGAAAAGTTCCACTTCAATATGGTTAAACAGGTAAAAAAATGCGTCAACCATTAAGAGAACAGCTAGTTTACGACTAACTAATGAAATATATGAAAAGGAGGTACATGATATAAACTATTTACGAACGAGTAGCGTAGTTATAATACGAAATTTCACGAATTTTGTTTGTTGGCTTACTCATATTTACATTTGACTCATTCCTCCAATTGCTAACTTATTTTTGGGTACTAACTTTTATGAAAATCTTACTTAGTGTTAGAAAATATTGAGGCAAATTCAAACCCTATTTCACCTGCTTCATTTCGAACAGATGGTTAGTTTCACTAGCCATCAAACACTCATGAAGTCTCTTACACTTTTTCAGCTGTTATCGGTATTAATCACTGATGGGATTGGATACTGACATGGTGTCACAGTAGTAGCCTCTATTATTTCTTTTCCTACTTCTCTTTTTATTCCCTAATCTCAGTTTGTTTTCCTTTGCTGTTTGGAACTGATCAACCATTACATATCAAATGAGATCTCTGTGGCGCATATGTATTTGGTGCCTCCTTGTACCAATATCTATGTGTTGAAATAAATAAAAAATGAATAAAAAAAACATTACAACACATATTTTACATGTTCATGATATCTGAATACATTGGGGTGTGTGTGTGTGTGCGTGATAAGGATGACTTATTTACTTCAATTTTAACCTCTATTTTTTAGATCATCAGGAGACCAAAAAATCAAGAGTATGTGTGATACCCGAGGTTGTTGTAGCAGGAGTCTGATACCATTGTTCTCCAGGAAATTGTTAAGTTAATTACTAAAACTAGTGACTAGGCGTAAGTCTAACGAGAAGCAGTGACCAGTGGAGTTCAACCAGGTGTGTTGTGACAGTAACTCACTAATGATAATGGATGTGTCGCTCAGTTTCCTGGAGTAGTTGAAGTTAGACATTAATACCGTTGGATGCCGGCTCAGTGGTCTAGTGGTTAGGCGCTCGCGAGACTGTTAGCTCCTGGGTTCAAATCCCGTGAGGCGAGATTGTGGATGAGCACTACTGAGGAGTCCCACACTAGAACAAAACGACCGTTCAGTGCTTCCAGGTTTTCAATGGTGGTATAGCTTAAATCGACTCATGATCTAAACTATTAAAATTACTATGATATCCACAAAACCCCTTCTAATGTTTTATTTTTGCCTAAAAGATCTTATCTATCGTACCAATAATGTGATCAAACTTCATTTTAATGTTGTTCTCTAGTGATCACGCGGTTATTACTTAATTTTGAGGTAAATAGACTTCATTAATAAAAGAAATTTCAATGATTCATATTACACATTGTCCTGTGTCATATAGAGTAATTAATGTATGAATTTTATTATCATTTCAGTAATATCTTCAAAAATAATGGCTTCAGTGTACAGAATCAGTTAATTTTACCATTTAGCACAGATTTTGATCATGTTAATTGTGCTTCAGTCGATGATTTTAATTTGGATGGTAAAACGGAAATTATACTTGGAACATTTGGACAACGATTACTTTATTATGAATGGGAGTTGAATAATACAGATCCAAAAAATGGACAATTCATGTAATATATTTCGTTTTCTTCTTACTCTATATATGTTCCGTATTTGTATTCTGTAAGGATTAATTAAAATTTGTCGAACTTCTATTAAACGCCACCGATGTTTGGTGATTGGATAACTAATCTTTAAACTAAGTAGTTTATAGCTTTGGTTTAAACAGCCTGACACTACTATTACTACTACTACTACCGAACACTTAAGCAACATCTATTAATGCATAGAGCTGTTATTCATTAGTTCAGACACTCCACAGTTACAAACTGCATCTCATGTAATATTTAGATGTTAGTTAGTATCGTTATTAATTTTGGTTAAATTAACCGTTTCAGATAAAGTGTCATCAATGCCATGAATACTGTTGTTTGTATTTAACACCCACCACTCATATCGATACATTTGTGATAAGGTATTCATAAATTTATTTTGTCTGAACTCACAAAATCTTTTAAATTATGATATATATATATATATATTCTACGGATTTTAGAAAGTTTATTACCTATTTTAATATTGCTTTTAGATTCGCAGTGAAAAACATCTATGCTCCATAAAGTTGGACGAAACGAATCGAATTACATATGCCCAACAATGATAGAGAGTTTTAGAAGTAGTTCATTTGAAATCAATTAGCTTTATGCTTTATAAAAGAATCAATTTACTTTAGTAAACAGGAACATAGAATGGAAGTGATAGTTTCTTAGTAAAATAATCCATCTGATTAGCTGACTTAATATTATAAATGACGAATGAGCATCAAAGGACGATTAATTAACGTGATGCAGGTGTGAATGTTGCTTACATTCTTTGCTTACGTGATCTAGTATGTCTAAGTGTTCGAATTCAAATTGTGTGCTATTCCTCATGAACAGTTTAGTATTAATCTGTTCCAATAATGGCAAATGACCAGCTTTATTATGTACTGCTACCCCGCAGCTACTCTGTTCGAGTTTCAATTCATCTAGGCTTAGCTTTTTTTAGCATCACTGAATTTCCAGTTTGGTGGCTAAACCTCGTATAGCAATCCGTTACAGTATACTTTTTTTTAGAAGGTCTTTCCTGTTGGAACTGAGCATGTTTAAGTGTAATTTGAAAAGCTAGATCTCTGCGGACTCATCTTCAAAGTAATGTGTTGATAGAATCTCTTTTTCATTTCCTAAGTAGAATAATGACTGCATTAGACTGTCGAATACAATTATAACATCTATGAATTCTGCCAACTGATAGGTCTGCAAAGTCAATTTTCCATCTATCGTATATCGTTGTTCAAACTTTACTAATTGCCGTTCTAGTGTGGGACTCCTCAGTAGTGCCCATCCACGATCTCGCATGCAGGTGTTGGGCCTGAGGAGTCCCATACTAAGACAAAACAGCCGTCCTGTGCTTACAGGTTTTCAGTTGTAGTCTAGTTTAAATCGACTCAAGAATTCAACTACTAACAACTACTACAATCCCCACAAACCTCCACTCTAATATATATTAAAGGACGTCTTTTGTTTGTCTCAGTTCTCAATATTACACATATATAAAGAGTAACCGAAACAATCTTTAAGATTCATAAGTTTTTCACATCCACTCCAATGAATTCAGTAACAATCAAACGAATCGTAGTTTTAAACAACTGCATCACACCAACTTTAATTTTCAAATTATTGAAAATAACTACTTGGGTATATTATAAAACTTCGAATCTGTATAATGACATTCAATTTGTAAACGATTTATTCCTTTTATGTTAAAAACAATCTTATCGGAAGTTGTTTTATATAAATTGTATTATTAAAAACTACATCAATTTAATCATTTTCACTGCACAACTTTTATACTACATAACATTAGAAAAAAATCTTTATAATGTATCATGTTGGATACTGTTCATTTTAAGATATTCTCTTTATATATATGTTTTTTCAGATTAAAATTTCAACGTTCACTTCCTGGTCCAGTATTTTGTATATCTCCCGCTTTAGATCTAATCGGTGAAGGTCCTCTATCATTAGCAGTTCTAACTAGTCGTGGACTACATATATTTCAACATGATACATATTGTTTAATAAAAGAAATTCATCATAGATTAGACAATCATTCACCTTTAATACTTAATTTGTAAATTACTTTTTATTATTTGTGATTATTTGCTTATATATATATATATATATATATATATATATATATATATATATATATATATATATATATAACGGCCGTTTCGTTCTAGTGTGGGACTCCTCAGTAGTCCTCATGCACGACCTCGCATGCTGGACTCGAACATGAGGAGTCCCATACTAGGACGAAACGGCCGCCCTGTGCATCCAGGTTTTCATTGTGAAAATTAGAACAACACATGTAATCAAACAATTGCTTTCAATTAGATCATCATTAAGCTTTACTGTAATATACATGAATATTTATATGAAATTGTTAAACTAATCAAGGCAATTTGAGCCAATAATCACAATAAAAAAAGGGTTAAATGTGTACAGAAAAAATTCATGAACCCCCTATCCCTTCTATGGCCAGTTGTAACTTAACAAACGACATTATTTTATTTTATTTTTGTTATCATTAACATAATTTTCACATTTGGTATTTGATTGTAATTTTCCGCCTCTTTCCGTTTGTATCCTTCACTATCTACTTATTTATATACTTCTTATTACGTAATGGTTTTAATGTGTTGTGATGATTATTCGAAGTATATTCACCTAAGTTTGACATTCTATTTCCAATGTTTAACTATTGATAAGACTTTTGTTTTCGTGTTTTATTATTCTTACTACTATCAGTACACCTACCTTCCTTTTATCAACTTGTACTTTTACCTATTATGCTTGGTGACTTGTTCTATTTCATTGTGATTTTTGACCTTAATTACCTTGGTTGATTTAACATTTCCGTATGAATATTCATGTATATTAGAATAAAGCCTGGTGACGATCTAATTGAAAACAATTGTTCGCTTATATGTGTTCTATATATATACTGCTACCCCGGAGCTATCCTGTTCGAGTTTCGATTCATCTAGACTTAGCTTTTTTGAGCATCACTGAATTTCCAGTTGCAATCTACTGAAAAACTGATTTCACATTTGTACATTTCTTAATTGTTCATTTAATTTTTTTGTCAACTCCTATTTTTAAATAATTGAACTAAAGAAAAAACAGATTTTGAGTAGAAAGATCTAAAAAGGAAAACATTTTAACTGTTGTATGTCCATTGTTTTTGTAAATAGTCAATACCACCTCCAATCTATCTTTGTCCATAGACTTTAAAACATGTACTAAATCCTAATATTGTGAAGTTATATAATCATTTCCTTCTTGATAAATACATAACATCTCTCTTTTCTATACATACTGTTTTACTGGGTTAATTTAGACAAATCATAGCGAGACTATAATTTATGGACAAACCAATCAGATATATGATAACAGGTCTCAGATTTTGTCGCAAAATTCACTCATCCAGTTGGCTAAATAAAGTTTTAGCATTATAGCTGATATCAGTTCGTGATGAAAATTCTAAATCTAATTCCCAACCTTGACCATCAACTGTAAGTCATAAATCTAATTCTTCGCACATGTTTATAACCCTCATTTGGTCCTAGTTATTAGGTGGACACTCCCAAGGTTAGTCTAGCGTCACTCCAAGGTCGTCTCAACCAAATCACTCTTATTGATTTTCGTATCAAGGAAATATATAATGTCCAAAATGACTAAAAAAGAAACAAGCATATTGAGATTACGATTCGTCTTAAAAATTCATTATAATTCTAAAAACATTAATTGTTAACTAATAGAATTTTATGCATTTTGAAAGCTTCAATGAAAATTTACATTGTCGGTAATTGGTGAACAAGGATAACATTATGTTCAACGATCCGATTTAATCAATAAAACATTTTCTTACTTCTAATTAACCTAATTGTCATAATAAAAGGATAGGGTATGAAACTTTATATCTAAGTTCATACAGTAATGCTTACACGCCACGCAAATTTATAAGTTGCCAGACTTGTGAGAACAAACAAGTAGTACTGACGTTGGTTAGTTTTATAATTCACATACTCATAACAGCTTTCTCACATTTACATCTTATCTTCTGTGTGACAAGTTCGTCTGTTTAACTTCGTTTAACATATCCATTCCCTTTAAACACAACTAGCCTCTAATCACTTCAGTTCATATTTATTTAACATGCTTGACAGATAATAATATAGAATTCTAAACAGTGTTTCAACAAGTTTCTTTTACTAATTAAGAAAAAGAAGTCAATGACTGCATTAACATATACATGAAATAAATAAATAAACCATCTGGAATTAAGTGAAGTTTTTCTTCAGTAAAATAAAAATCTGTGCAACTTTTAATTAACAATTGGCCTAAGAATACTGGTTTTTGACTAGATCAGCTCTTACAACCTATTCGTCTCATAGTGCTTTCGCTAGATTAGGTATTGTACAGCCTCTAAACATTTCCTTACATGCATGGATTTTGATGTATTAGCTCCTCGTTTTACCAAAAGATATACAAAGAGAGATGTTAGTAAAGTTAATGTTCAATGAAAAAGGAGATTTTATTTATTCCAAGGGGTTGTAAAAAGTTAGAGATCGGTGTACATGCACTGAGATTACCCGCACAGCTAATAAAAGTGTTTTCTGAGGAAGATGGCAGGTCGTGAAAAAATTGGAAAGAACAGGTTTTTGTACCACACCTTGAGTTAGTAAAGACGTTGAAATATTTCCTCCTCAAACAGTATAATGTTATGCTTCAGAGAGGTAAGAACCTTGACAGTCGGTTATCCGGCTGTCAGGGTATTGTTTCAATTCATAAAGTATATTGTATGGATAAAATAAACCAGATTTTATTTCATTCTGACAATCAATCTATAAATTATTCCGTTGTAAACCAAATATGTGTGTCTAGTGGTTAAGACGTCCAACTTTCAATAATTAAATTGCAGGTTCAATTTCAACTCAACTTGGGGCAGCTGAATATCATTATTCTACACACAAAAGTATGACTCAAAACTTAGTACACGATTCTGTATTGGGTAAACAAATAACATTCCGAAATTTAATAAAAGTTCCATCTATTCAAGATACGATATATATATTTTTTCAAATAAAATATATTTAGAATGAATATTTATTGAACAGGGAAATGACATAAAGGACAATTGTGCAATTTCGTTATTTCATTTTCATAAGCACAATGTTTACATGTTGGACACATCCAAAATTGATAATCTGTAATCGGTTGACCAGTGACTACACACACAGGAATTTTTGTCTCACTAAAATGTTTAGGTAAAAAACACAAAGGAAATGTTATGTTTATCTGTCGAATTTCGTCTTTATTTCCAATGTAATATTTATTTTATTAGTAGACAGAGAAAATACATTACTATTGTACTGTATACTAAAAGCATTATAGAAAAGTCTCTATTTTGTTTAAACAGAATTTTGTTACAGTGTCGAACGTAAATATAAGCGTTCTACAACAAAGCTGAAATGCACTTTATCAATGATAATTCCTTACAATCTTACCCTAAGTCTTTAATCTCAATATTATTTCACACTTTCTATTCTTTGTTTTTGGTCAATATTCTCTATGTTTAGTCTTCCTTATTATTACTGGTCAGTCACTCGAACTGATGTACGTACGTACGAAGTTGTACGTTGTTGCTGACTGACTTCCCATTCTTTTTTGACCAATATTCTTTATGTTTCCTCTTCCTTACTATCACTGATATAACCATTTCATCTAGTTCTGTAGATGTGCGAATATTTGAACCGTTTCATATCTGTACCGAAACATATGTTGATATTGACTAACTGAAGGATCATACATATATATATATGCCTACTGATAGGATGGATGTTGAAGAACAGAAATATTGATGTTTAACTCAGTTTTTGACAAGTTAAAAAATAATACTAGTAATAATTTGTTGTATGAACAGCCGATCTATACATTATCAGGCCATCATCTATACACCAGTTATAACACAACATATCATTAAGATCCGAGTGCCAAAATATATGTGAACATGATTATTGTGATAACGCAGTATTTTCTACAAATAGGTTGTTTATTTAAGTCAATTAAAATATTGGTTAACCATAAGCTGAAATCAATGTAGAATGTATCGAGTATCGAATTTAGTCGACAGTGCGGAAAAATACATAGTCCAGTTTCTTAAATAAAGTTAAAGAATCAATGGTAGTTAGGTTCTACTCTTATACTCCCTGGTTAATTTGGCTAGTTTAAATAAAAATGAAATGACAGACTTATCACAGTAACTTTCGCTGTTTTTGTTCCATTCTATTTGTTTCCATCTTGTTCTCTCGAGTTATGAATGATTATAAGCGCATTGTGACGACACAAGGATTGCTTTTCGCTACATTGTCTATTCTTTTTCAGTCTCAGTTTACGGAGGAAATACTAGTTTCCGTTTTTTTTTGCTTCACATTATTATATTCCCTGTGGTAAACACAATTCAGGAATTATATCTTTCCAAGCAGTTTACTCTCATATCTCTTCGTTTTACAAGTTACATTCTTTTCTTCCTCAACTTACTCATGCCTAAAAATCAGCATATCTTCTGTATTCATTAGAATATAAATTATTTATATAAACAGAAAATACTTCCCATACAAAGAGTGGTATATGTAAGAATTGCTACAAATTATATTTAACTACTCACATCAAATAACAGTAGTAAGATGTAATGGCCGGATCAAAAATAAACATGAAATAGCATTAAGTAGTTGGAATAACTTCTCTTACCTTTCTAACATTGAATCCATTTCAGGAGACTCCGATGTATCTTGTTCGTTTATAGGTTGATGTCTATCAAAAAGATATAACGATAAAACAGTCATTTTTATATCTAGTCAGAAAATTTGTCAAGAGTCTACGAATTTGCTTCAAACAGTTTTCATTATAAACTAACATAGTAATTATCAAAGTTTTTAAAATAACATCTTAAAGAAATAAATCAAAGATTCTCTAAAAGGAGTTCAATGTATGAATACTGATGATTTCAAGATTCAAAGTCAACTTTCATACAAGGTTCTTAAATAATATCTCTCTATACACATAAGTATAAAATATTAGATATGGATTTATAACAAACAGACGTATCTGAAGTATAACGAATTACTGAATAACACTTACTTGGAAAATAGATCTAGAGTTAATTCTTTAATTTCTTTCTGTTCAATTGGTGAGATATCTGTAAAGTTTTCTAATTTTATAAAAGCTTTAGAATAAGCAACATAGTTTCTTGCATAAATAGCACAGAGAGCTAAAAAAAAGTTAAGCACTTCAGTATTAATACGGAGATAAGTTAAAAATATAATCTTATTAGTATTATGGATCAGACTAATTTATACAGCCGTTGAAAACCAGGAAGTCTTGATCACCTGTTTTTCCCCAGTTTGTAGTTAGTTAGTCGTGTGCACCCATGACACCATTGATGAAGGTCCTACTCAGGACTTTAGGTCTCATATAATAACCTTTAACCAGTAAACCAATGTCTATTTTCTCCTGGTTTCCAGTGAATGTCTAAGTTATGCCGATCTGTGGTGTCAATAACATCAAATAATTCCCATATACTTGTATATTAATGAAGTGTCATTCACTTATAAAATTTATAATCTAGTACAATCGGAAAATGTCCACATCTAATTTATCAACTACCTCCAACCACCTTGCATCCCAGCATAGTGCATACAATGTCAAAACGCTTAGTCTACTGGATAAATCGAAACCTGATCGATATAATCAGATTAGCACTAAATAGACTAGTAAAACATTACTGGTAAGCGTTTTTTTAGCGAGTTAGTTTTCTACGGGATGGAGACGCTAACCCCATGTCCAACCCTCCTCCTTTACCCCGGCTTGGGACCGGCAGTAACTCTAGAAGAGCTACAGGCGGAGTTTAGTAAAACATGACATTGATCATTCTACAGTGACCAATCAATAGTACACAATCAGAGAATTTATAAAGCTAGGCTTATTTACTACTAATGAATTAATTAAAGTGTAAATTCATTACATCGAGTGGTTATACTGTTTATTGTAAGATACTTTAATGAATAATGATGCTATGCATTCAAGCATTTTTAATCTCCGGTAACATGGAAACACTACTAAATACTTAGCTATAAGCATCATATATGTGTCACGATATCAAGTGTAGCTGGAAATTTGGAGGTTAAACATTATGTTACACATACAGTCATGTAGTCAGACATAATAGTATTTAGAGTTTATTAATTACTTGTCAGTCTATCCTATAACTCAATCATATACAAAGTCATCAGAACAAAAACGTGATATTAAT